AACTCACTCGGAGAAAGAGTAGTTGAACTCTGTGGTCAGATGGGAAGCATGATTCGAGCGTTGTAGAAGTTTGGCGTTCTCCAGCTAGAACATGTTCTCCATGCTTGTTATAGCAACCTGTTTTAGCATGAAAGTCAATTGTTGCAGTGACAATTCTTGAAAGCACCGTGGTAAACTTTGTAGGTACACCGGTATACCCGTGTCTTTCAGGCTTCGTATACCCATGTCTTTCAGGCTTCGAGTGTCAAGTTACTTGTTTCCCAAACCAGCGCACGGAGTCACATAACGTTGCATTACTGTCTCGTATGCCGATCACTGATGCCTCCGGTCCAGTAAGCGGCAGTCCTGGCAAGACATGGTGCAAGACTGCGTCGATTCCTCGATTCCTTGTGTACAAGACCTGTGAGGTACCGAATCATTGCAGTCTCGCAACGCGCCCGAGGCGCAATGCCACCGGCAAGGACATGGCATGCAGTTGCTTTGCCGAGGTCATGCTCCTCAGCCTTCCCTTTTTCAGGTTCCCTCCTCCTCCGGAACCCGTCAACGTGCCTTGCAAAGCTTGGAGAATGCAGCACCATCCATGGCATTTCGTGGACCGCAAAAAGCCTTCCACGGCAAGCACTCGACTCCACGTGTTCACGGCAGCACTCATGCCGATGGTCAGATCGTTGTGGAGGAATCGTATTTGACACACCGACGAATGAGAAGGGTGTTTGCCAAAATGGTGTCAAGACTGTAAGTAGACTGTAAAGGGAGTTTTTCTGACATGTTTGGCGGAATTGTTTGCCAAAATGCTCTCATCGCGGAAGTGTCGGCCCAGCAATTCCATGAATGTGCTGCCGCGAAGGAAAAGCCTGGAAGACCTCTTGGTACGAGCTGGTGCCATCCTGCCAGGGGCGTCCCAGAGTGTCTCTGCCCAAGTTGGCAGCAGTCCTTGTGGCGACAGGCCTGCTTCAAGGATGGTGTTGCTGCGACCACTGCCTGGCTGACAGTGGGCAAAACCTGTCAGAAGTCCCGACCCAAACCGTCAAACTGACTGTCTAGAAGGTGGGTTATTGAAATCAAGAGCTTTTGCTGCTGATAGAAACCGACAACTATATGCAATGTCAAAACCCAAATGTTTACTCTATATATGTTTAAGGTGTTTGAAACTACGTGTTTTGTTGCACTGTCAAATGACCAAAAAGAGAGATGGAACTACTGATGGAACTCTCGGGCCCCCCTCCTCCGACCCCCGATGTTCGTCACATGGTCGACAGCGGGGATTGGTCGACCGCGCTGTGAAACGATGACCATGTTGTAAAGCCAAGTGGCATTTGCTGACACGTCGACCATTTCACGTTTGGCTTTGAATCGGCATGACATGTAGCATCATTAAAAGATGTATGAAACACTTGGGCATCCACTGCAAAAGCAACCCGCCAGGGGTTTTCTCACGCTTGCTTGTGTAGAAGGGTTCTGGCAAGGCTGAGGATTAGTCGCTTTGAAGGCACATGGCTTTGTAGACACAGTTCTTTGTGCTGTGCCACCAGTTATGTGCATTTTTGTCGCAGCTTTTTTGATAGTGCTGATGCCCACAGCAACAGCAATATTCAGTATATAATCTCTGTAAGCATAATCCTGATAGCATCATTCACTCACAGAGAACAGTGTATCAGCGCGCAACTACACGTCAATCCAGAAGATTCTCCCGGAAGATTCTCACAACGGGAGAGTTGAAGCTGAAGACGTTGAACACTCCGTGTTTCTTGGGGACTTGATGCCCCCCCCCGTGTGAAACCCACGTCGATGGACTGCGGTATCCTTCGACCCGATCCTTCAACCTTGACGACCGTACGACCGTGGTGGCGCGAGGGACGCCGCGAGGGACGCGCCCGAGCCGCAGAAGGGCCTGTGCTGCAGAGGTCAAAATCCTGGGCGGATCTGGGAGAAACGAGGAGGAATGGACACAAGAATAGGTGGTAGATGGTGGTAGGCTTTTCAACTGGTTGCATGAAAGCCAGCTGCTGGGAATAGAGATGGGTTTTGAACCTTGGGGCTTTGGCATTCAACAAAGTCATAGCACAAAACTTGCCTGACCAGTTCCAAGGAAGTAGTAAATCACTTGGTGCTAGACTTGTGTCCAAACTTACACACACCTTTAACTACACCTTTGAAACTTCAAATTAGGAAAGGTCGTAGGAAAGGATGAAATTCGTCAGTAGATGAAGCCTGTTTTCCTGTGCAGGTTCTACAGACGATGCGAGACGTTGCGACATGGCCTCCCGAGACGTTGCGACATGGAGTCACGAGCTCGTCGAGTCGTAGAAGATGTTGACATCGAGCCAATCGAGAGGTTGACATCGAGTTGAGCAGAAGACCAGTTCCCTTGTTATCACATGTTACCACATATGGGAGTTGATCTAAATTCCTTTATCCGGGATCCGTCATTTTCGCCAAAAAATACGTTTTCCAAACTTTCGCCTTCCTGCGTTTTATCTTTCGCCGAAGTATGTTTTTATGTGTGCCATGTCTGTTGTGTTTTGTTCACGTCAATGGCTTCTTCTTTGCTGGCAAGCACAAAATAGAAACTTCACTGTTTGTCAGCATGTGTCTTCTACTTAACTGTTGACACCCTGTACGTCTCTTTTGTTTCTCCTGGGTGTCAGCAAGAAGCAAAAATGGAAGAACCACTGTACTAGCCGGTCACTCAAACTTACTCATAATGGGCTGGGGGTCAGATGTGGCAGGGTGAACTTTCGCCAATCTTGAGCTGAACTTTCGCCAAACGTTCGCCTTTTGCGGGGTAGAGTTTTGTGGCAAAGCCACACCCCAAAGCAGGAGCAGGAATAGTAGTAGTAGTAGTAGTAGTAGGAGTAGCAGTAGCAGTAGCAGTAGCAGTAGCAGTAGCAGTAGCCGCAGCAGCAGGTTATCTAACTTCCACAGCTCATCTAACTTCTGAGTCACTGCCACCAGCTGTTCAGGAAGCAAATGAACATTCATACAAAAGTACATATTTAATCTTTCGCCAGATCTTTTGCCAAAAAAATATTTACTTTCGCCAACTCGAGAAAAAACTTTCGCCAAATGAGATTTTGATATGTTCCGGATCATAGTCATACACAATGCTGTCTAGGACCTTTAGATCGACAACCATATGTTTGAGGTCAAACGGGTTAACCTGGATGTTTTTGTTGCTCTGTCTTGGATCAAAAACCAGCTGCTGCCAGGACCCCCATCACCATTTATCCATCACCCAGTCTCTGGCATGGGGGATGAATTATGTCATCCCGATCTTTGGTCTGTGGATATCCCACTGCCGTCCATGTCCCCCATCTGCCGGCCTGTGCTGTCCACTCCTTGCGGAGATCGGGCCTGAAAACAAAGAGCAAGAAGATTGAAGAAGCACGGCGGGGAAGCATACTTGGAAGAAATTGCTTTTTAACGTTATTTCCAGGATGCCTTCCTTCGGGCTGTGATTCGGCCTTGTTCAGGGCCTTCCACCTGCCATCTCTGGAGAAAACAGACCTAAACAATCCCAAAATGTGCGGTCCACTACCAGACATTGGGGATGCAGGAACTGGCTTGACGTCTACATTTCCCACAAGTCGACAAGACACATGCGACCCGCTTGCTCCGAATGACACAGCACCCTCCCGCTCCCCGCGCCCCACTCTCCGCCTGAGGAGCTCGACACAGTGGAGCTCTTGCGCACCATGGGACCTTGGCTTCACAGACCTGACGCATCGTCCGGACCTCTACGAGCTGTGAGATCTGACCACTGAATCCCAGCTCACAGGGGGAACCCCACGAGCTGAACGAGGCCGCTGAAGGAGGCCGCCGAACTAGGATCGAAAAAAATCATCCAAGCCTTCTTTAAAAAATCTTTGGCTCGAGCCAGGCTTCTCGTACAGCCGCAGGGGCACAACCTCCATGGCACGGTGGATGAACACCAAACTCATTTAGCATTGCAACCGCTGTTCGCTCGGTGTGGCTGGTGTCATCAGCATATCTGAAGCCAGCCAGTCAGTGAGATTCATTGAATCTTTGAAGCCATTCAAGCTTTTCGACGTGAACGTAAAACAAAAGGGACATCATGGGATACTTCCGACCGCAGGACATCATTGGATACATGAACTACCTGCATGGTGGCAAGCATGTTTTAGTCCCCTTGCTGGATGGAATTGCGTCACCGCGCACAGCATCTCGCAAGTCCAGGACCAATGGCCAACGGATGTTGCTCGTTGAAAGGCCATTCAGTCTTCACCACTCCTTATAACACCCTTGATTCACAGACCACGGACCCAAGCAAACCACCTGTCTCCTCCCACGGTCACTCCGACGCCTTGGTGCCCGTGAGCTTCGGACCCTGGGCCGCGGCGACCTCCGCCAGCAGCTCGGCACGCTCCACCTCGGACCGGGCGGACCAGGCACGCGAACCGAGCACCGTGGGGCGGCGCAACATCAATTGGGGGAGACCCTTCTCGTTCGGAGAAAGGAAAATCTGAGATGTTGGTTCAAGGGGGAAGTGGAGATGTGTTGGGAAAACTGGGAAAAATGAGGCACCTCCCTGTTACATGTTGCCTTTTGTCACCAGGACCGGGCGCAGCTGTGACATCTATGTGGAGGATCTTAGAACCAGACAAGAATTGTGGCTAAGCTTGGACTGCTCGAGGCGAAGCAAGCCGGCGGGTTCACCCGCCAAACTGCATGGACTCCATGGGGCGACGGCAAAGCACATCTTTTTATCACATGAGCTTGGATTCTTTGTGCATTGGCCGAATTAGGATCTTGGCATTGGCTAGGGTTGTGTGGGGAGTGTCGCTGATGTGCAAGGAAGATGTCCCTTTTTGGCCCACTTGGAAGCTTTGGAAGGGGGAGTGTGACAGTGCGGCCATTGACTCAGAAGTCAAAACACCCAAAGTTGCCACCACAATTCATACGTGTATACTGTATAACCGTTTACATACTCCTTGTCGCATTCAGCGTCGTCTCCCCACATGCTTCACCTCACAGCGGTCTTAGCCCGCAATGACCGGATCAACTGCGCAACATTGCAAGTGCCGAAAGTTCACACAAAGATGGTCTTTGCAAGTCCTCTTGAGTGGCCTTTGGGACACGGCGTTCGGACTCGCTAATGACGGCAATGGCACTGCTGAGTAGGTCGCAGCGTCTGCGAAGAGGTAGATCATCACAAGATCTGCATAGTCCGCATCCTCGGCCGCAGGTCCAGTGTCTTCAGGTCCCTTCTTGGTGAAAATCCCTGGATGGCCATCCGCAGTCCTGCACAGGGCGCTGCACCGGCGGCACGGTGCCCGCGGCGCACCCGCGGTGAGGCGTTGTTCGTGGGCGTGAAACGAGAAATACATCAAAAGACCAAATGGAATCAAAAACCCAAGGCTAAGCATGAATTCATGCTTTGATCGCAAATAAGCATAAATACTCCTAGCCCACAAAAAGGGTGAACAAAAAGACGTTCAACCCAAAGCTGAGCGGTCCTTCGTCCCATCCACTGGATACACTGTGACTGTGACCCGCCCACAGGATCCTCGAAGATGCCGTGGATGCAATCGCTGAAGTAATCCGTGGCTTGAGCAATTTGCTTCAAAACCTCCCAGATCCTGGCACTTGGACCGTCACTTGCTTGGACCGTTACTGTAACTGGGCTGCCCCCAACAGACCGGCTGTTTTCAATCGGTGCCCCGCCGATTCACGCGTTCGGTTGGACCGTCGTACGGTCGAATTGGTTGATCTCTAAAGGACCCATTCATCACACAACCGCAGTTGAGTGTGTCTCCCTCTGCAAAGGAGTTGCGGTTGGTAGAACGACCAACGGGGCGAGGACCACGGTGAAAGACTCTGTGGACAACTGGTTGAACCCCGGTTGGACTCAATCCAAGCCGATCAAAATCATTGGCAGCTGCTAGCAGCCAGTGGCCCATCTTGCTGCACACGAAATAAAGGAGAACGAAGATGTTGGTCTCCCAAAATCCATCCGAAAATCCCAAGAACGTTCAACTGAACTCGATGAACATGCCATGGAGAGACTCAACGAGTCATCTGGTTGCCATCCAGAGCCTTTCATTTCATGTCGGTGGGTCTTTCGAAGGGGATCCCCCACCCGCAAGGAACTCAGAACTGAAAAGCGAAGGAAAACCTTGCAACCCACTCAAAACCCAGTCAAACAGACTGAGTCGAGTCTCACTTGGTCGTGAACTGCATCTTTCAGGGGGATTGGGGCCAAGGCGCTGAGCTGGTGAACGGTGCGCGTTCACGCGCTCGTCGAGGAGGCTGAACCAAAAGCCAACAGCATTGTCCACGTCCTCAGCATTCGACTCCAGCTTCAAACAGCAAGATAGATAGTCATTTCCAAGCTGATCCAAGTAGTGTTGATGAGAAATGACTCGTCTACTAGCAAGCTGATCAGCACTTGAACGGTTCTCAATCTCTATACATCCAAATCACAGCATCACAAAATGCAATCCCCTAGAAGCGTTTGCAGAGTGCTGTGCCTCATGTGCTTCCAGGCTTCTTCCTGCGTCCTCTTCGTAAACGTTTTGGGGTTGTACTTCTGGACCGCGTCTGTGGCTGACCGCGCTTCGCAACTTGGCCGGTGACCCATCTTGGCACCCACGGAATTTCTCGCGGAACGCGGACTACGCGAGCGTCAACCAGCGTCACCAGCTGCGGGGCCGAGAGTCAAAAAAACATGTTCAACAAGTGAAACACATTTCCGCGTATATGGGGCCGTACAATCTAGCGTCAGGTTACTTGGGTAGGTCCCCCTGTTAAAATACACCCACATGCCACTCGTGCGGGTTGCAAAGCAAGAGTTATTCGTACATTTCAAAACCCAATGGTTTTCAGGGTCTTGACCGGGCACCCGCACGCCCTTCTTGGCTGCCACAGCTGTAAGCGCCTCTCGAAGACAAACGAAGTTTGGACGCTGCCATGTGCAATGGGCACACATGTAGATCAAACATGTTTATCCCAAATCAGATCAACGGGCAAGAGGAAAATGTCGAAATATTGTTTCATGGGGAACTGCAGCTGCTGCGAGGCTTGCGTGCAAGAGAGCTCGATTTTCAAGGGGAAGGGCAACGTTGGAAAGCCAACGTTTGAGAAAACAAAGATTGCATAGATCTATGGGAACATGCCCTTTGGGGCCTCCAGCCTGTTTGGGAAGAGTTGACACATTCTTCCACAATCCTGTGCCTCATGCAACTGTGGGAGACTGAGCCGTCTCAGGCCCTTCTTCAACACCTGGCGCATCAAGCTGCTCCGATTCACTTCCACGCGATTCACATGGTGAGGGAAGGAGGCCATTGCTATCAGGTTGGTTGCTATTACGATGATATGCAAGTTTCTACTTGAAAAAACCCTCCCGGCAAGAGACCCCAAACAGCGTGTGAGGTGTAGCAGCAGAAAGTCTAGAGATGTAGACGCATTGGGTGCAGAGATGTGCTGGTGGTGCATGAAGGTGGAGATCGTGGTGATGGTGGTGGTGGTGATGGTGGTGGTGGTGATGGTGGGATGGTGGTGATGGTGATTGGTGGTGATGGTGGTGATGGTGATGGTGGTGATGGTAATAGTGGTGGGTGGTAATTGGTGGTGGATGGGGGCCTAAGCTGGGATCCACAAAGTACTGCACCTGCCACGAAATCTGCACTTCAAGGCCCACAAAGTGCTGCGCCTGCCACGAAGTCTGCACTTCAAGGTCCACAAAGCACTGCACCTGCCACGATATCTGCAGTTCAAGGTCGACAAAGCACTCACCTGCCACGAAATCTCCACTTCAAGGCCCACCTGCCACGAAATCTGCACTTCAAGGTCCATAAAGTACTGCGCCTGCCACGAAATCTGCACTTCAAGGTCCACAAAGTACTGCGCCTGCCACGAAATCTGCACACAAAGTACTTCACCTGCCGCGAAATCTGCAACTCAAGGCCCACAAAAGTACTGCACCGCACCTGGCACGAAATCTGCACTTCAAGGTCCACAAAGTACTGCACCTGCCACGATTTCTGAAAACGAGCCACATGTCCAAAAGTCGCGGTTCACTGCACCTGTCACGAAATCAGAGCACGTCGAAGATTACCACCACGTCCAAAGTGCTGCGCCTGCCGAAATCTACACATCGAAGTAAAGGCGCTTCGATCCCTTGCACCTGTCACGAAAAGTCGACTTGGGACCCACGAGGTTTCCCTTGAGCCTGCCACGAAAAGTGACCACCGTGTCCGAAAATGCGCACGGCACCACAAACGCCCCGATGCAACACCTCGATTAAACACCAGCCCTTAACTACTACCTAGTGTTACCACACTGTTTGAGGAATATAACCCAAGCTGCCTTGGCAAAGGTGAGATCCGCATCCACGGCCGTGAAGGAGCTGTCGATGATGCCAGTGTCTTTGCACAGCTTCAAGAAGGACCTGGTGAAGTTACGGCGAGCCGCCAGGGCGGAAGTTCACAAAAAACAAAAGAGAACAGGAAACGGTTGCTGTTTTCAAAATCACAGATTGGAAACACCAGTGCCAGTGTCTACGGTCACCGGTCTTCAAGGTGCGGAACCGGTCTGCCCCACAGCGGGTCCTGAGAACTGAGGGCCAGTCTTGCCATCCCACTCCAAACCTCAGTTCTGCGCTTCAAACCGGTGTGGAAACGCAGATCTCCACTGAAAAGGCCGAGCAGTTGAGTTGAGCTAAGGCGAAGAAGCCCGCCAAACTGAAACCAGACCTGAGGTTTGCGCTCCCTGGCACACAAAAGCTGTAGAGGATCGTCTCAGGATTCTCCTCAGCGAACTGCTGGTTGAATGAAGCGCAGAGGATCCCTCCGGCGTCTAAGAAAAGAGAGCTACTAGTAACAAGTGCATCGCTACTAGTAACAAGGGCATTGCGGCATGACTACTAGCAAGGTTCGCTACTAGTGGCCGGGTGATCTATTCTACAGGGGGGGAACTATGGCTCGAGTCCCCGGACATCTGAACCAGGCATCAAGGCCGCCTACCGAGCGCGACTGAGGCGAGGTAAGCGAGGGAGGTGCAAGGTGCGGTGGTCGCCGTGGCGGGGGTCGCCGGGTGCCAAAAGTCTTCATACGAAGCATCTGGCTTGGTCAAGGAAGCAGACGACAACATGTTCTGTACCTTTCAAAGTTCATCATTCAGGGTAATAAAAGAAATCGCCTCCGGTGTTTCTCAGCGACCGATACTGGAAAAATCATGCATATACTCTTACTAGACCTCTAGTTCGTGTTTGGGAAGTCTAGATTGGATTGCGAAAACCGAAATTTGACAAAGCGACCTCTTCCTGCCCTCTTGACATCTTCCTTCCAGCTGGTGCAAAGAACTGTTGTGACACTTCCTTTGATAGTTCCGATTTCCAGCAAGAATCCTCTCAATCCTTCTCACCGACCAGCTGTTCTTCATGTCCGAACTCTCAGGCTTGAAAAAAGTCAGGACCGGCGAGCAACTGCAAAACTCTTTTATCCGCACTGCCGGATAAGCTCTTCAAAGGCATCGATGCCCATTCGATCCAACAGATGGTCCTGACTCGTGCGCGCAAAGCATTGCGGTCAAAACGCCCCTTCAAATGGATGAGATTCAATCAAACAGGCACCTCAAAGGAGACAACTTAAAACAGGTTGGAGTGAACCCAGAAGTGGCATGAAGCTTTGTACCACTGCACCAATTAAGTGGTTCATTCAATTTCATTCACAAAATAAATGAATTATGGAAGATTTCTATGGTACTAGTCTATTAATGGTTTTGTTAAACTCTAAATTATAAGCAAATGACATCTTAATTGAAACAGAAATAATTTGATGTCCGACAAAAATGCTTCTAGTGTGTACGTTGTCAGGCCACTGCTTCAGCTCTTGTTGTTACCAGCAGAATGGATAGAAGCTTCAGCTTGGCACTTGAGCTTCTGCCTTTCTCTGCACATGCATTGTGAACAGATTTTGCTGATTTTGCTGAAGAAAGCCACGTTTTGATTCTGCTTCACAGATGAGCTGTAAGCTGCCAATGCATTTCGAGGTTCTCCCTTTCATAGAAGCTCATCATCAGTTCCAGCTTTGCTTCAATACCCAGCTGTCTGTCACCCATGTCATGGCACGTTTCCTGCTGCTCAGGCGCGTTGTGTCGATAGACCTCCTCCCGCTCCTCCTGCGCCACTCGCGCCAGGTCATTGCTCCGCAGCAGGTGCAGCACCGGCCGCGGCGCGCGCGCCAGCGCCTCGCGGGCGTCGGCTCCGCTTCGACCCGAGTCGGTGTCCAGGGCCCAAAGCACGTCGCTGCGGCGGCACAGCACCTGAGGATGAAAAGGTGCACTTCTCATCTGTAGACGACTAAGTTTACAACTTGAAAATTACACATGTGTGTATACTCGTTTTTCTATACAAACATGTACTGACAATACAATTGTGCTTATCTACAATACTTACTTGTGCTTATCATTGCTTATCTATATATATATAATTTTTTTTTATCAGTCATTCTTCTTCACTTGCAGGTCGAACGCACCTCCTCTTCCTGGTCGAACGCTTGGATCGCGACATCTTCACCCTCCTCTGGGGTTCGGGGTCACCAGCGCTCTCGGCTCGGGGCGCTCGGACCGGCGTTCACCGGGGAGCTGAGGAGAAAGATCTGTGCCTAAAAATGGGGAAGATGAGACCCATGCTTGTCTGAGGATGTTGCTTGTTTGACCAGGACATCTCTATTGTTTTTCCATGTGTTTTTCCCCAGGAACTCTGATTGAGTTGGAGTTGCTCGGCGTGCTTGCAGTTTTTGATCTCAAGGTTGTAGACCATACAGAGGGTCCCGACATGGATACTTTCACTACTTTCATGGTTCCACCACGTCCCATGATCAATACAAATCTTGAAGGGGAGAGCAGGTGTCCAAGCACCTGTCTCACACGTGGCACCCGTCTCTGTCTCTCCCTCTCTCTCTATCCCACTCTCCGTTCTCCTCCTCCTCGGACAAAGTGCTCTCAATGATTCGACCCAGAAGGCGAACTGAGAGCATCTCACGGTCCGTTTCCTGACACGTGAAACATGCACGGTCGAACCATCGTTGACTCGTGTTTTTCATGGATTCATGACGATTTGATCATGACTCAAGGACTCATGGGGTCTTGAAAGACTCTTTTTATAGACATGAAAGGCTTCGAGACCCGACCGCAACCGCTGAACCGTGAATCCGAAAGCCGTCCGAGTCGGCGGATTCGAAGGTGTGGCAATGGCCCATGGCCGGCCTTGGGCAGGCCTTTCTTGCCAGTGCAGTCTCATTGATTGTGTGACTTTTCAACACTGATTGCACATGCCAGTGCGTTTTTTGCCTCGCCTTCAGCACCTGGGCCAAACAGGTCTCACCATCATACTGCACAGCCACCTCACCGCCAGCAACTAGCTCAGAGCTGGCACCTGAGGCCATTGAGACGACGGTAAGACTTCAAGACGATCGCTGCGTTGGGTTGTCGAACTGGAGAGGGTGGAACTTAGGCTTTTCAGTTGTTTTGGGTGGCAGAATGTCCCATCAATACAAAGGACTGTGCCGAATTCCAGATCCCATGACATCATAAATTGTCCCTCTAGCTGTGCAACAAACAACAAACCACGACCCAGTTCAAGTCAGAAATTGCAGGCCCTGACGTGTTAAATCACCAAGTCACAGTCTGGGTGAAAGGCAACAATTGCTACTTCCAGGCCCAACATGCGCGATAGCACACGTCCATTCTGAAGCTCCCGAGCATAGAACTCATGGAATTGATTGAAGTCCTCCGGATACACCAACGCTGCAGGACACCGACGAAAACAAAAAAACAAACACCACAGGCACTACAAGCCAAGCATGACCTCAATGAGGCGCCAAGCATGAGGATGGGATGTGGGATTTGGAGGTTGAAGTCGACTTATTCATGTGACTCTTTAGAAGCACCTTGGGTCATGGGTCATGGGTCACTGACAACAACCACCACCCATTTATGTTGACTTCTTTCTAATCGCAGCCCTTCAGTAAATTGTGCCGCCCAGTCTGCTGGTTTCACCACTCATTTTGTGACATTTTGCGGCGCCGCCCTCGGTTGGTCGCTCCAAACATCGAAAAGCGCCGGTCCAGCCATTCTGGCACATGGCCACAGACCAGCAGCGTGGTCGCAGGCATTTCAGGATCTTGTGCTTGCAGGATCTCGGCCTTGGGCTCAGCACTTACCCACTGCGAAAAGAACGTCTATGAGCCGACTCATTGATGTCCAACGAACCGTGACCGAGCGAGCAAAGCACCAAGAACCAACAAAATGATCATAGAGCAGATGAGTAGCAAGTGAGAAAAGCATTATCGATGACCATGCACCGCAAAAGAAACCAATCAGTACACGTGTACAGACATACAACAGGGTAATCAGAGCGATCAGCTGGCAAGACCCTCTGGAAAACGTGCTTTGAACAAGCCAAAGTGGCTCAAACAAGCCAACTAGGATTCCATGGGATTCCATGACTAGGACGCTACCATGGGGCTCCTGGCCCTACTATATACTAGGAGCAAGGACGCTACTAGGGGCTCCTGGCCTTACTACTAAGAGCAAGTGCTTACTAGTAACTAGTAACTAGAAGCTATTCCATGACTATATAGGAATCCATCGGTTTCACTGGTTCCACCCCCCTCGGCCTCGAACTGCAAATCCTCAAGCACATCTTCTCCACTGCATCCAGTGCTGCTCAAGACCTTCAGGCCGTTTCTTTGGGCCGGGGCCTGAGCGAAGGGGCACAAGTCCAGGCCCAAGATCATGGTATCAACCTCGGTGCCGGGAAGAGAAGAAGCAGTTTCATGCGTTTCTGCGGTTCGTGTCCCAAAATCCTCAAATATTCTGGCTTCAAGAAGAACCCCAACAAAGCTTGCTGATCCATGCCCAGCAGCCCACCTTTGCACTGCCAGCGAATCCTCATCCTGCACGAGCGCAGCTCGTTTGATCCACCGCCTGTTGCAGTTCTGTGAATCGAAAGTTCTGTGCAAAACGACAGGACATATGGTGCGCTTGTGCCTCAAGTAACTAGAGGCCAGTCTGCACGGCTAAATCCGTTGGCTCTATGAGCTCCAATTGCAACTGGATGGCAAAGTCATCAATGTCAATGTTGCTCACAGCAAATCCATCTTCCTGACCAACATTCATCACATTGCCAAGGCTGCAGTCCAGCCCGCCTCTTGCCGTAGAGGTGTTTCGCCACCAGTGCCGCCGCAGAACGCCATGGGAGCTGCCGTCCTGAGATTCCTCACCGTGAGGCGGGAACGCACCCCCAGAGCGACAAATTGAAAGTCTCTCTTATCTTGCAGTCGACACTTGAAGACCTGCCCATACGAAAACCCGAAAAACCATTGGTGAGCCACATTCAAATTCTGGGTGACGGTGGGTGAATAAGGATTTTGCAAGGCTTCGGCTTTCAGACCGTGTGGTCCTCGGTCAATGGATGGGCGGCTTCCAAAGCTGTGGCTGGGTTGGCTCTGCCATGGCACGGCCGGCACAACAATACAAGGCAGCATCAGTCCCTTTGCGTCCTTCTTGGAATCGATTCTTCGTGTAGGTTGCCTTTCCCTGCTTATATACCCCTTTTTGCACTGGCAAAAGAAGCTGGAGGGCACTTGCTTGATTGAGAAGGTTTTTTGGGATCTCAAGAGACAAATCTTCCAGGGCCGATTGATCGCTCTAAGAGGAAGCTTGAGCCATTTGGCTGCAGGTCGACAGAATCCCTTTGTCAACACAATGGTTGGTGCTCTCACTTTACAAACCGTCTGCTCCCGGCACCAGGCCACATGCAGTGTGTCCGGTAGCACGTGGGTCAACGGGCCAATCCACTGGGCCTTCACCCGTGCAGCGAGGGGCGTATCGTCATCTTGCATCCAGTCGAAGAGGTCCTCCATGGATACACAGCCATCCTGAAGGGCGACCAATACAGCCGAGAGTTCACATGCAAAGGTGATTTGATGTGATTTGGCAGTTCTCACAGAAGATATTCAGGATTCGTCCCTGGGGTTTTCCCAGCTCGAGGACTCGAGGGAGGAGCTCTCGAGGCAGGGTACAAAACCCGAATGTTGAGGATCCCACCATTCTGATAGATTTGGATGTTCATGCAATGTTCTCCGTTGTCCTTCTTCAAGTGGCTTGTGGCACATGCTCTTTTCAGACACAGCTCAGGTCACTGGTCACAGAATGCCAACAGAGCTCAGGTCACGGCCACAACGCCCACAGCATCAAAGATGCTTCTGAGCTCATTGTCCTGAGGCTGTCAGGTCACGAGGGTCGAGGTACATCGAGGAACTTACTAAGGGAAGAACAGGATGAACGGCGCGTGTCACCAACGGGTGAGTTGAGTTGGTCAGAACAAAAGCTCTGGGACCTGCTACATCAGCTCTCGGTCGTTTTTGCCACCAAAATGGAGGAGAAAATTCTGGGAGGTCTCCAATGTCAAACCAGTTTGGCACACAGGGCTGATGAGTTCCCTGAGCGTAGATCACTGGCAAATCCTTCAGACGGGACTGCATCACCTCACCCCAATTGACCTCTTCTCAGCCCGCCAACGCGTCAGGTTTTTGCGCGCCTTGAAGCTGCCAAGGCTTTTCAGCAGCTTCCAGGGCTCTTCTAAGGGAACCATCTCACTGCGCAAATCATCTTTCCGAAGCCTCAATGAGACGACACCCCGCAGCAAAAAAAGAAGCCCCAATGCGTCACGCGAAAAGAGCAAAGGCCCTTTTGGGAGGATGAGACATAATAATATGATATAAATAATATGTACCCTACAAATTCTTAGCTTGTGTTGAAATTGACATGATTTAGAGGCCGTACATGCTCCCACAGCTTGTGTTCTGAGTGCTGCTGACATCTCACAATGATTCCAGGCTCCATTGGTTCACGTGCCTCAAGAAAGCTGCACGCGCATTGTTTACAGCCACGGCTGTTCTGGCAACTTTGTGCATCGCCCTGTCTCCTAGTGGGTCCTGGCAATGAAGTTGTCTGGGACTTTTAGGAACGCAACGAAGAAAGCTATATAGGCTAAGGGGTGTAATTCGTCCGCTTCAAAATTGTTGGGAGCATCTAAAGTGAATTTGCCCTCTCCAGCTTGCAATGAGATGAAAACCTGTCTGTATGTCTCACTGCTTGAGCCCTTTTTGCTGCGACGACCATTTCCTGTGTGAGCAAACGTCCACCATGAGGTGCCGGCATGGTGCCGGCTCGGCTGCCGAGGCGCCAAGGCCGAGGGATTTCTCAGAAATGCAGGCTCTGAAGACTGGCAGCCAACGTACTGGCACCACACTTGCTGGCACCACATGATCGATTTAGCTCTCTGACTTTTTCTGCTTCTCCGAAGCTCTCTTTCGTGCAGAAATTTCACTTGCTCACGAAAGTGGATGGAAAGCCAGCTGTCCTTGGCAAGCACTCGCACTAGACCAGTTGCTGAATCAACAGGGACCCCACTTCTCCATTCTGGTTGAGAACAAGCAAGGGACATACTGAAGTGTAAAATAAAATAGTAAAGCACCCTTGGAATAGGAACAAAACAATTGTAGAATCAGCAATACACTTCTGCATATATACTACAAGTCTGGAAACGACAAGTCTGGATTTGCGTCTAAGCTTTGGAAATGACCGGAGAAGCATCTAGCTTGCTGAAGTCCAAATGGATGCTCTGCAAAAGGCCAAGCTTCAGTGGCCCAGCAAGACAGGCAAAAGCTAGTATCCTGCGGGATCATCAAATCACAAGCGCAGAATGATAGTCTGGGCAACTCAACTAGTCGATCAAACTACTTAACTGTTACTCAACAAAGGGCAAATCCGCTGCAAGTTGGCACAGTCCCGCAAACGTACACTCCGCCCAGCCACTTCCGATGCCTTAGCTTCCCAGCTTCCTCTCCAGCAATCATTGCAACTGTTCCAACAATTGAGGTACACGTCCACATGGCTGGGCAATATCTTGAGGGATTGGCTCGTGCAACCATTCGGTGCTAGAGATGAGGAAGGTGATGTCGGGAAAGCCCTCGAGCAGACCGAGTTCATGACATTGGGATGCTACGTTTGAGGACCATGAGTTGAATCATGAGTCAACATGCCTTCTTTCAGCAAAATGTGTGAGCAAACATGAGCAAGCAACCGCGTTCGATCGAAAACCCTTTGCGAAGAGTTCCTGCAAAATACTCGCCTGGTGGTTGCAGAAAGTGTGGGCCAGAATCACAGCTATCAGCGAGCCAGTCCTTCAAAAAAACTGATGCGAGCAAGGAGTCGGGCCGACATCACACAAGGCAAGGAGTCAGAACAACCCAACAACCCTGAAATCTCATGTACATAACGATCTCTAGGACAACGCCAGTCCTGATCAGCAGGAAATTGGAATAAATCCCAAACAAGGATGTGTAGAAGACCTGATGAAGCCAACTGAGCAGCAACAAAAGAAGTGCTTCTTGAATTCTCATGGCCAGAGAAAACACGGCAAGGCTTCCAAGGTTGAGAACAGGACCTGGAAGAGAACCTGCAGTCAGCATGTGGCCACATGGGAGGTCTTTCTACCACCGCTTGGAAGGCCACACTCCAGTCATCTACATGCAAATCGATACATCGATGCTTGAATGACCAAATGCAAAGTTAGGCCTGCAGCAGCGCAGTCTTCTTGCTCTTCGTCCTCAAATACTTCTCGCAATGAACTAGTCTTCCTTTGGACAGTCTTCCTGCTTGGCTTTTTCTGGACCTTTGTTTGAACGAGGTGTCCGATGTGACTCCTGCCATCTATGAGACTGGGTTTTGGACACGTCCTTTCCCCAAAGCTCTTGTCGCATCCAAAAAAAGGCAGCTTCGCTTGTCCTCCTCACATGCTCAATGAAGTGATGTGTGTGGGCTAAGGCCTTGGCAAGAGCAAGCTCAGCAAGCACTTGTCGCTCAAAAAAGCTGTGACTGGCAATGTTCCAAGCTTCCTTTGCAAATCCTAGAAGTTGCTTGAAACTGCTTGCTTTGCTTGCTTCATAAGTCCTATCAACATGTCAGGCTAAATGCTGTGCCTCTTTGGAATCCCCACGAAGCAAAAAGGGCTGCAGAAGATGATGGTTCTCAAGGGAAAGGAGGCCGAGACCTTGCTGGATCGGGTCGTCTCACCGCTGGATCAGCACATGAGACGACTTGTAACCACAATCTTAAGGACGAGAATACGCAAAACAACTTTTGCTGCTAAAAGGGTCTGAGAACATGTGTATAAGATACAATCCCTTTTGAAAAAAGTCTGACAAACTCACATATAAATGTCCGAGTGGTCCTTCTTGGCACAGGCGTATATAAACAATAGTGTTTTTAGATGTCTTTAGTCTTGACCAGATGAAAAAGACTGAGAAGGCCTGCAACACACCAGACGACTTGCGCGGCTCTCTGCACGAGAAAAGCCATGGCGCACAAACTGAGACAGGAAGGCGTCGAAAGCTGGACAGGGCCAGTGGAGAAGGCCGTCCCCAAAAAGGACAAGCTACATGAGGAGGCTGAAGGGACCGTGACTGACGAGGTAGCACTGGCAAGAGAGAAAAGGGTTAGACACGTCAGAGGGAACATCAAAGTGGCTACCAAGAATAACAAACAATGGAAGGGATGGATGGGACACTTCGAGGAAGCAAGAAAACATGCACCCGGAAAGTTCCGGGAAGATTAACAAAGCTGAAAATGGACCTTTGGAAGACTATATTCCTCTACAAACGAGTGGTTTTCAGGTTCGATGTGGGTCTCTTCCAGGGCATCAAGGGAAGACCAAGAGGCCAGCTTGTGACCCAGCTAGCTTCTGAGTCCAGGCCTCTTTGGTGCTCTTCCCGCAGACAAAGAGGTTTAGTAGTTCGTGGAGGGGCAGGATCCAACCTACACATATATCTCAGAGGAGGGATGAGACTGGGCTGTGTTGTATTTGAAGCGTTGTTTGTTCTTGTTGGCTGCAATGTTCAAAACACCATCTGCTCTGATAAATCAGTGGTGCATGTAGGATGGTCATCCAATCGTATCCCAATATATATCCGCACTCTGGAAAAAGCTGGTCAGAGACCAGCTCTTCTCCAACTCGTTCTCGTCTTCACACCTCTTGACATGTTCCAAGTCATACGCGGACTGTCAAGTTCCCAACCCACAAGCGCACCAAGCAGGCTCGGAAGACGAGCTCCTTGGGAGGCTCAACCCACGCCACGAGCGTTTTCCATCGCCAAACGATGCGACACGCACGGCCCGCCAACCCTGCGCCCCTGGAGGTGTCTCCTCGGTGATGGGTGCCAGGATCAAGTTTCGAGTGAGGACCCAAAAGCCTGCCAGGCAGGGTCTTGGTGTTTCTTGTCTCCTTGTGGTGAGCCAGTGCGTTCCATGGACAAGGCCGACGAAAAGCCGGACGGTTCTTGTCCCGGTTCTTTCGCACAACAAGGCAAGGTCTCCGGGCCAAAATGTCTTAACAATGAAAGGTGCCCATTCTGGAAGCACTGAAGCCATAGTGCCTGCTTCCACTGAGAAGAGGAACTTGGATTCTCCTGGCAGAAATCGTCAGGCTGAACATGCTCTAGTCACTGTACGATCCGGGGCAAAATCACAAACATCTCAGGCGCCCTGCCTTGGCTCACAGTAAACCAATGTTGCACCTCACACTTGCTGACAGCGTTGGGTTTCTCTCTGCTGCGATCAAGAGGTGGCACTGCATTGCCTTCTCATGATTCTCCGACACTGCATCATGTGAGGAGTGAAGAAGATCTGTGAGTGACCTTAGTCCTATTGATTCTCCCAACACGATCACATGATTGATTCCTCTCTGTTTCGATCCACCATGTTTGTGGCAAGTGGCAAGAGGTCCCAAGAAAAGAGACGCGGTCAAGAGCACACAGTTCACACTGGCCTCAGCCAAACAGGATTCCTTTACTGCTTTTCTGGTGCTTATCTGCTTCTTTGACATAAACTATCAACATGTTCGAAAGCAGGTGCAATGAATGAACTGTTTCCAAGATATCTTTATAGTAGCTTTCCAAGCCTTGAGTGTAGTTATAACCCAGTTTGTTGCGGAATGCCCTATAGAGTGAGATCATGTCACATCCAGCGGCAGCAGCAACAACAACAGCAACAACAAGACACTGATGAGACACGGGTCCTTCTTCCTGACCTCCCTCTTGTCAAAGGAATTCTACAGTGTTCTTCTTCTTCTTTTTGGTTTCGGAACCCAAAAGCTCCACAACACTTGGCCTCACTTGGCCTTCGGACCGTGGTTACGAAAGCACACCTGCGAAGCTCATCCAAACTTATCAGCGAGCACAGTGCTCCTGGTCGTGACAGAACTTATATACTAATAATTACTGTGTATAGTATAACTAAATCAGAAACACCGAACGAAAGTGCAAAAGGTACTACTGTTTTGAGGCACCTGCTTGCAGAGACACCATCTGTTGAACTGGGGCATATGCATCTGAAAGTGCATCAACGCCGGATGTACCATCTGCAACTGCAGCAGAACAGACTCTAGAATGTTGACATGTCAGCGTCTTAACCGTTTGAGAATAAACACCGCCCCCACCGCCTAAGCCCAAGAAGCTCTGCAAGAGACAAACCAGGCCTCAGGCTACCCCGTGGGGGAGCCGAAAACACGAACCAACACGGGAACGCGTCCGGGCCTGAAGTGCAACGGGAACCTGGAACCTCTTCGGAGGATCACGTTGTTGAGGATCACAAGATATCCCCAACAAAAATGAAAACCTTAACAGTCTCACCCCTCAGTTGTGAAAAGGACATATGCATGCATATGCAGTATCAAAGGAGATCTTTCAGAGAAAAAGTAAACGCTCTTTACGTTTCTCCTAGGCTCCACACATGCCCTCTGGCACTGTGCTTGACAAGGCGCGGATCAGCATGACCTGTAGCATCTGGACGCACATGACGCTTCGGTTCCTGCTGTTCGATGCATGGGGAAAGGTGAGTGTGCAAACAAGGCCGTACAGGCCGTACATTGGGCCCATTCCAACCCCTGTACTCTTAGGCCTGTTCTTTCTTCAGTTTCTGCGTGTGCTAGGTCAATGATGCAGTTTGGACAACTACCTGTCTTTCTCTGAGGCATGCACCGAGCACAAACAGGACAGGATAGCGGAAAGAAATCTACGCTGAATTGTTCCTGCCATTCTTGGGCAATTGAAACTGGTGGAGAAAAAAAAAAGTAATAAACTCTTGGCTACTGCTTTGCAGGAAAATCAAGCTCTCCAACTCATCCACGTGTCACAGCAGGACTCGACTCGAAAAGTAAATTTGCTCTGTGCTTGTCGACAATCCCATCCCAACAGAAACAGACCTGCTTCATCTCGATTCAAATCCTTGTAGCCCGCCAGCTTCCAAATCTTGGCAGAATGCCGTCTGAGATAGTCTGAGAGTCTCAACTCACCTCTTCAAACACATGCCGTGCTGTTGGACTCCCCGGTCCTTCGCTTTTTCGCCCAAGGCCCGGACATGCAGGGACGCGACCTCAGTGTCACACGGCGGCTCCACCCTAAAGACCCTCCACCGACCCCGAAGCCAAACCGAAAGCCCGAAAGCTCGGTGAGGTCGACCTCCAAAACGGGGTGGAACATGGGGGAAAAGGCGCCGAGCTCATCCGAGCTCGAGGTGCAGAATCCATGTCCCTTTGCAAAGAAGTCTGCGTCCCAAGTGACGAAGACAAAGGAGAGGAAGAGCGACCCCAGCACGGCAACGTGTGGAGACACCTCAGGAGCAAACCAGTTGCCCTGGACCCGTTGCCCTTCCAGCCGCCTTTGCCTTCCAATCTTCCAAGCACGGTGGGCAAATGTGGTGCACCCTTGAGGCATGAGTAGTGAGAAAGTATCTGAGCAAAAACAGAAAGGAGACTCTCAGACCATTGTCGTGACCCACTTCATCATTTTTGCAGATGTCTTCCTTTGTATATTGGTTTTGACCGAGCAATCCACTTAAATGTGATGCCATGTACCGCGTAGGTCACCACTGGGGATGGCCTTGGGTCACCACTGTGCAACCCCACCTGCAGCTGCAGACTCATAGGCCCACCCCTCGGTCACGCAAGGACACTAGGTCCACTCCATGAGAAGGGCCTAGTGAAACAATCGACTTCGGCTGCACCGAGCCGTGCAGTAGTTTCGGAAGATGTCTTTAGAACAGAAACTTTGGGTGCAGAAGTGTGATTTGAAGTCATGTTCGAGCTTTGCTTTTGGGGGGCAGTTGCAGCAGACCTTGTTCAAATGCCTCTGGATGCTCTGTAACTTTGCCAGATTACTCGAATCATTGAACATCCTTGGACTAATCTATCGTCTGTGCCTCGGTCAACTGTCCAGGCTGATATATGTGCGTGTGTGTCTTGATGCGTATTTGATGATCGCTTTAAGCCAATGCTATGCTGGTGAATCTTGGCGAGGACTTAAGGACGATGCCATTGAGAATTAGGGATCTCAGGTCTTTCCTCTTCCGTTTGCGGTAGATGTCGGCAGGTTCTGACCTATGCTCTCTCCTCTGCAGCGGTGGCATAGCACAAAACCATTGAAAGGAGCCCTTCCGGGCCCTTCTTGAAAGGAATGAATATTGACATGCAAGACGAAACATTTGGATCCGAATTGGATAATGGACGGAAACGGGACTGCATCTGAATCGACTATTATATAAACTCTTCTTCCGACACACAAGGATCCTTTTTTACCTGTAGACCCACTCCAGCTTCTTGGAAGGTGAAACAAGCTGATATCCAGATGTCTACAAGCTTGAACTATTAAAGAAGAGAGCTCCAAGTGGGCTGTTGCATCGCACCCGAAGGCCCCTGAACTTGGAAACTGAACAAACGCAAAAAGAAGAGTTATGTCATGTTCCACACCATCTATTGCCAATGTATGGCGCTCTCATTGCATGAAGAATTCCTCCAATTCAATCAGCATATCTCAGAACTCCAGCGTGCTTCCTGGCAGGTCTGGGCTTCCGTTTCAGCTTCAAATCCATCAATGCGACCGTTTTGGTTGTACAGTACATGAGCCATCTGCAGTCTGCAGTGCAGTCTGCAGTGCAGTCTGCAGTGCAGTCTGCAGGGCAGTCTGCAGTGCAGTAACAGAAAAGACTTCCCACACACCCTCTTAGAATTCGATACTCCCAAATCCAAAAAAATATCTTGGACCGTCATTGCACATCTCCTGGCCCAACACCTGCCATTTCTCCCCTCTGGACCTCTGATACCACCACTACGCCCATAAAAGAGGAAAAGACCCGGGGACCTCCGACCACGCTCAAATTCCCTCAGTTTGAGACAGGTTCCTGTTGGGACAAAGATGTGGAGGAACCCAACCAATGTGGAGGCCAATCCGAGCAGTCTTGTCTCCCCTCCGCCGTCCTCTTGGGCACTAATCGCCAAGCTGTGCAGAAGGAGAGCACCTGTGGCACAAAGTGTTTGCTCATGATTCAAACGGTTTGGGTCAGGGAGACCCCTCCCAAGATCTCAAAGACCCCAAATCTTCACAAAGACCGCTGCACCCTGTGGCCACACCGAATCTCATTGTCCTCTGAGTGAGTCGTTTGTTCCACCCATCGGATCAGGCTGGGGAGACCCGGCGGCCAAGAGCGCGAAATAGCAAAGACTCCAAATGGTGCATGCGTCGGAGGCATCTTTGTAGAAGGAGTCCTGTAGAAGCAGTCCCGTCGCTGGCGGATTGAACGGATAGAATACCAAATCATATATAACTTCAGCATCAAACACTGGTAAGACGCTGTTTCACAGCGATGAACCCGCGCGACCCGCGTGCATGTGAAAATCACATGACCTTTTGTCCGTACACTGCGAAATGCCTGGAGGGGGACAGTTGTGAGTTGACGTCTCTTCTCCCACCTTCAAGGCAATTGGATCCTTGCTCCAGTAGATGAACGTGGGATCCTCCGCGGCCTCATGAAGGGCTTGGGTCTCCAAAGTCTTCAAAGTCCGTACCCTTGGAGTTCAGGAAACACTCGGCACAAAGAGCTGTTCCATGTCTGCCAGCATTGCTCGGTGCTCGGGTGGATCAAAATCCGACTTTCGGGAGAACAACGACCCTCCCGGGAGAACAAGCTGGGAGCAGCCGGGCTTGTTGAAAGGCACCATGCCGGTCATGCGTGCTCTTTTGACCAAAAGAGTTCAATAGAGCTCACGACCCTGCCTCCGTGACATAGGTGGCCTCCTCTAGCTTCACTGCATTCACATAGCGGTCGTAGGGTGAGCCTTGGAACCAGGTCTCAACCAGGCCTCTTATACCCAACTGCTTTGTATCACAAAGATCAGTGGTCACACAACAGGCAACAAAAGATGCCCTTCTCCGTCATGGATCAAGAACCCCGCAGTATTTCGGTGTGTTTTTTGGGAGAATCCTCGTAATATCCTCGTATCTATTGGTTCAAGTGCACATTGGATGACAACGCCCGTTCTGCAGCAGCAACAGCACACTGTCTCACAGTGTGAGGCAGTAAGATTCTGATGAGGGAAGGAAGCTTGCAACTCCCTCCTTGGAACATCTTGGAACTATACTCCAAAGAAATGTTCGCCTCGCACAACAGTCTCAGAAATCGTTGCGTCGCACAGTGCATCATATACGGTCTGTTCTACTAGCCTGTCCTGAATACAAAGCCAAACCCAGCTTCCTCTCATTTTACCAGGGGTCCTGACCTCTAACTGCCCATTGCATGTAGGGCCTGAATGGCGCTGAATCTGAAAAAAGGCAAACTCATGCTCGATCAATGGTATAAATAGGAAGCGATCCTTGTGGCAATACCAAGCCTCAATTGCTCGACTGATAGGCTGAAACCAAGACGAAACAAATGATGCGTTGGACTTCTGCTCTCGCACCGCGCTTCCCGAATTCTCAATCGATACGCTCCGTGGCGGAACGTCGAGCGGCGCCTCACAATCTTCTCTGGCTTCAAGGCGACTAAACCACTTCGAGTGGACGGGTCCTTTCCGGAAATGGCGGAAACCAGATAGGTGGAACTAGGAGGGGAACTAGCGGCTCTAGCAGAGGCCCGTAAGCCTCTCTCTTGGCCTTACAATTCTTAGAGAGTGGTCAATCCGATCCGTCTGGTGGCTCTCACTGCTCACTGCTGCCCGAAGGCGAAGGTCTCCTGTGCATCTCCACAGTGGAAGTCCGAACGCCTGAACCAAAAGGCTTCCAAAAGGAACCAGAGAGAGTCATCACCCCCATCCATAGAGGAACACACATCTTCCTCACCCGGAACCCGAGTTTGGTCAAAAGACTTCAAGCCGTCTTGCCATGACTTTCCATGTCTCACTCCCCATCCTTGACCTGAAGTGCATCTGTGTGGGGGGAAAAGAAAAAGGATCTGAGACTCTGAGACGCAAACGCTTCACAACAGTCTTCGCCAATGGCCCAGTAGTAGATGGGCTCGACCTCGGTGGCGACCCTCGGACCTGTGGATTCGTTGCTGTGAAAGCGTCTAGAGATGATGTTCGCCATGCCGACGGAACCCCGTGTCCTCTCAGTGGTTGCATGGTCAGCAAAAGTCTAAAAGTCATCTCTTGTGCGGTGTAAGAGTATGAAGCAGGCTTGACATGCAAGCGGCAGCAGCGCCGCGGTTTTCCACAAGTCACTTATCACTGGGTGTCATGCTGCTGACATCGTAGTGTCGACCAAGGGTGCTACACAATAAACCTTCCCTGTCCACCTGAAGCGCAGCAGTGGAGAAGCACAAATGCACAAACTGCCATGGTCGTTGTCGCTGTCATGATGGCCGAAATGGAATCAAGAAAGCGAGTTTGCGTCGCTGGGCACCAGTTGTTGAGTGCCCAGCAACTGGCTGATTCCATTCTCAGCATTCAATGCCATGTGTAGCAACACATCCTCCAGTCCGGTCTTTCCCAGGCCTGGACTTGTAGCCCACTGCTCTCTGTGTGTCCAGTCGCGTATCCTTCGCACGCGTGATCGAAGCAAACGGGCGACTTTTCTGCCTGTCACCCCTCTACCCTGCAGGGGTCGTAAAACCACCAGCTCCCTGCAAATCACTTGTGGTGCACTTCTGAGAAGAGCTCGAATCATGCGGGCACCATTGGAATCGTGTCATGGCTCAGTCTTTCGTGGTTTTTCAAAGAAAAGAAAAGAAAGAGAGACAGACCTACAAACAGACAGACAGACAGGCCGACGGACCGACGGACCGACGGACAGACAAACAGACAGACAGAAAGAAAGTACGAAAGAAAGAAACCTCCTACTCTCCTCGCCTCTGTGAAGAGGAACATGTATGCATCAGGAAAGGCCTGAGTCAAACCGTCCACCGACATGTGAGGAGTCTTTCTTCAAGTCTATATTATCACCCTTCTTGGAAGACTGGACTGAGGGAACGGTTTAAACTTCGAAGTTATAACCCGCCATGTAACACATCAGCTGTTCAAAGCTAAGATCCTAACAGCATCGTCTTGCGCCGCAGCAACGTTCGTGTAGCTTCGCATCTCCTCGATGCAAAAGGGCTAGAGCATGTCGAAGAAAGCAGTCAACTGTGTGCAGGCATTGAGAGGAACCCCAACTTTGCTCAAGCGAACCTTTTGATGTGTGCGAAAACAAGGCAGCGCTGAATTTCTGCGACCCAGCTGACTCTACATGTCCCAGGTGAGTGCGATTGAAGGAGTTTCATCCAAAGGCCTGACCCGGTGGCCTTGTAATTCCAATAGTAGACCAGATTTCTGTAGTACAGGAAGAAGCCAATCACCAGCGACGCCATAGCAGCCTGCTGAAAGAAGCGAAAAGGAAAAGAAAAAGAAGCTAAGAGTCTAGAAGTGTTGTAAACCAAGTCCTATTTCTAAACATCCACTGCTCCTTTGGTAAATCGCATGTTGATCCCCCAGGTCTTTGGAAAATCCCAAAAAGCAATAAAAAGCATCCACACGGCCTGGATGGTGTAGAAGCCCATCCACCAGAGCCAGGGTCGTGGTTTGCCAGTCAACCTGGCGCTGAGAACATAGCAGCTCGCTTGAGCCAACCGCTTTCCTCTTCGGCAGCTCAAATTGAAGATGTTAACATGGTTCGCGAGGTGCAGAAATTCTGGATCTTCAATAAATAATATTAAATAATCCAAGGGAAGAAGCCGCGCCTAATAGCCTAATTAATCGACTTAAGGTAGAGGTTGGAGCTGGTAATACTATATGTAATATTGACCACTCTGCTCAAAGGCTCAGACCTTCTCCTTAAAGACAAACTGCGAGGAGAAGCTTCTAGTCACTACTGTACATCCTTGTTGAAAAAAGCTCTAACGCTTGTGCTTTGGAGGCAGCCCTGCTTCAAAAGGGTCTGTCCGATCCTCTTATATACAAGGTTCTGACATTAGCTCCGTGCTTGCATGTTGGAGTGTTTGCAAAGATACGTTCGGTGACCATGCGCTGAAATTGAACAAACAATCTCTGTCTGCCAAAGTTGGGACAGCAATCTGCTGAGTCTGGTTGGCCACCTGCCAACCCTTTTTCAAAAGTGCTTCACTTGGCAGCTCACAAGCTTTATAATGGCAAGCAACAGCGGAGGGTTATGAAAGATGGAGTCCAGTCAGTGAATGACTGAACCGTGTGTGCTGCTGTCCTAGACTTCGGGGTCGGTTTGCAATGTAAGCTGATCAAGGAAAAAAAGACTCCCTTCCTTCAAAAGCTTTCGCAAGTCCTGTTCCAGACTTGACTTGGCTTCCTCACTCGTGGCAAAACACTGACAAGCCGGTTCGACCATCGGAAGCTAAGGAGCATGAGCACCAGGCCACTCGCAACAACGCCTCAAAATTGACGATCTCAATAGGATGACTTCAATCTTGATTTGCACTGAGACTAAGGTCTTGCTGGAGGTCATACTACCAAAGCAAAACCAAGAAAACGAAAAGCAGCCTGCTGCTCATCTTGGCTCCAGACTGGCAAATACGGCCTCAAGATCTGGCTCAGTCTTCTACTTATAGCATCAACATCTCCACAAACGGGTTATGAAATGAATCACTGTGGGTCGGGTCACCTAGGTGTGGGACGATTTTCTTCACCCTCTAACAAGACTCGCACAGAACGTGTTCTACGCGAGCCACCACCACATGTCTTTCAAATGAACTACCTTAGATGTCAAACTGCCATCGTGTTTAGGTCTGCACCAAATGACCCACGCTCTTTGCCAGTGTGAAGGTTTCAAATGTTCCAAGGCCCCTTTTTAAAGCGTAAGGTAGACCGGATCTGTTCATGAGGCACAAAGCACAAACTTTTCGAAGTGTTCTCACCTTCACGAAGTCGACCTCTCCAAGTTGGACATGACACGGCCCACACGTCTCGTGCGCGCGCCGCTCCACGGGTCGGCTGCTCTCCCGGTCGACCGTGCATCACCTCTGGATTTTCTCCATCAAGGCCCAAGGCACCACGAACTTCACGATGGAGCTGTGGAACACGAAGAACCACGAAAGCATCTGAGTCGATTTCTATGTGCGTTTCGGACGCGTCCTTTATATGAGCTACAAAACGAAAAGAACCGCGCAATGCGGTTGGTCTCGTGCCACTGCAGCTTGGAGCCCGGAAATCCCTTCCTACTCAATGTGACTTTAAAGTTCGGAGATTCTTGATGCTGCACCTTGCCCGTCCAACTACTGATCCATACTTCTTGCATTCGAGGCTGCTTGAATGACCTTAGGCTCCGGCTATGGATGCGTAAGCGATACCGGGAAGGATGATCAGTGCAAAGGTCCAGAGCAGGGCACGAGCATTGTTCTGCACGGGCACAATACTGCGAAACAAAGCCACAAGACAACTGGTGGGCCCCATACCATCAACACAACCAACACAAAACACCACATGCAACATGCAGAAAACCTTCTTCCAACAGAATTGAAACTGCAGGAACAAACGCTGACACCAAAGAGAATAACTCCACGAATATTGGGGCCGCCTTTCCGTCATCAGAAGAGCCATGGGCGTCGACACGCTTGTCGGCCCGTTTTAGGAGCCGGTCGCGCTCTGAGTGCAAGTCCTGTCAGCAAGCTGAGTTCATGGCTGAGTCCACCGGGCGTCCGTGGCTACCGGAACTAGCTGGTCGTAATATGCATCCATGACTGGCTGGGTGGTACGTAGATCCAACGCAAGTCTCCCCAACAGTGTCCCACCACACGACATTGAATATTTCAACATGCTGTGTGCGAAAGACGTTCTCGATGGAAAGACATAGCCCTCCTTTTTTTGCCGATCACACCAAGTCCTGCTTGGCTCGGTGTGCTCGTGCTTGATCCTGGAACCGTGCCGTGGAAATGGAAGGTTAGCGCAAGTTCGGTCAACTAGCAGCCCGTATACTGGGTTAAACTATCAATCAGCAACATCTCAAAATGAAAGGACTTCCTCTCAACAAGGATGCCTTTCTGCTGCATTTGAGCACATGTCGATGGCTGGCTGGTCAATCTCTGGGGCACAGGCCATTTCATGAGACCTGACGAAAAGCTTAGCAAGAGGCCCTATTGCTTTCGAGAGTTCTACAGCGTGCTGTTCAATCAGCTAACCGGAAACCGAACGAGATCACGTGCACGATCGCACGGTGTCACGCTTGTTCCAGAAGTTCAAAGCTACAAAATGCACAACTTGCCTCAGCCATGGATGAAGTTCGAGAAGGGAAGTCTCGAGCCACAACTTTCAATTTGGTCGGCCAGCCGCTTTGGCGCTCACTCAGAGAACATAGCGGCAAGCAGCAACCAAGTCGCATCTTCTTGCGGCACAAATGAGTCTGCATGGAAATGTCCTATGCTAAACCTATGCTACAAACGTGCTTGCATGGCCTTGAATACAGACTTTCAACAAAGCCAGCAGACCAAAAGCAAAGCAAACATTCATTTGCACGTGTTTTCTTCTCTCACTGTGTCCTGTGTAGTCACCCATCCGCGCAGGATGGGCAACGTGCAACACTACTGTAAGCGATCCTGCGATAAATCCTTCCTTGCGCTTTTCATGAACACGTGCGCGCAATAACAAATGCTGCTACTTTATTAATGAAGCCTCCAAAGGGCAATCTGTTTGACATCCAGGGCTTGAAAGAGCTGTAAACCTTGAACTTCGATGGGGATCTCTTATACCTTGCGCACTTGGAAGGTTCATCAACTAGAGTCTGTTTCCTTTTAGATTTGAGACGATAGCCCTCCCAAGTGAAGGGGAGGATCTGGCTAGGCAACAGGAGCTGCAGAAGAGGAAGCTCAAATACTAACGCGCAAAAGAATGCAAGTTGAAACAAAACTACAGCCAAGTCACTTCTGCTGTCTTTGCAACTGTTGTTCTTTTCAGCTCCAGTATCGACACTTGAAACACATAACCTGCTAAATTGAATTCAATACGTGCAAAGGCTCATAGTGCTGGAAATGCTGGGATCCAGCTTTGCTCTACTTGTCAGCATCTGCTTGTCAGCATCTGCTATAAGCAAGCAAATATTCTGGATAGATGCGATCCTTGGAAATGCCAGGGGTCAGCCCCAGGGTACGTTGACGGGAAAACAGGTTGGCAAACCAGGTTGTAACAATGGGCGAAAGTACCATGCTCTTCGTGTGTCACTTCAAAGCTTTACCAACAAAGCAGGTGTAGACAAATATCATCAAATATCTACTTGGATCTACTTGGTGTTCTGACAACCGATCCCATTTCCAAAAGATTGTATTCCAGCCTTGCGTTTCACAAGGAAAGATGGGCGGAGACAGGACTCAAGCATATCACATGCGGCTTGTTGAGGACCCCCACGCTGTGAGTCAGGACGTACTCACGATGCCGCTGAACTTTTCCACCCACCTCCACCTGATGCATAGGTAGGCGAGTGCTCAAACGAAAAATAGGTTTGAACAGAAACCCCAGATGGGAAATCCTTCAAAGAACTGCATGAATCACTGAAAGAGTGAGGCCGTTTTCGCTTGGGAAGAAGCCGTTGTGGCTCCAAAAAAAGAGCTCTCTCGCCTGTAGTGAATGATGCGGTGCATCATGGCCTGGAATGGCACTCAGCTCACGCTTTTCGGGCCTCAACCAATACTGAGAAACGAAAATGGAGAATGAACGCTCAACCTGTTCATACAATGCATGTGTTTGTTCTCAGCGCTGTTTGGAACGTTCACATTTGGCCAGTGCGAACCCGGGCGCCACGTTGCAATGCAAAAATACTCTGGTAGAACCAAAGGTGATGAAAGCTCTGGGTAGGGACCCGTGTTTAATGTGCTTTTTCTGCACTGAGGTGCCGACGTTGACCAAATGCTTCGGCCTTCATCCAAGCTGTTCTCGCCATCTCGTGTTTGCACAAACCATCCTGAAAGACAATACCCAACGGATTTTTCAGGGGATGCCTCACCCGAGCTCAAATTAAGAAGATCTTTCGACCAAAGAGGAAAGCCACTTGATACTTGATGCTGTTTCGCATGTCATAAGCACATTTTCGTAAGCACCAGTTCTCATTGGACCGCCAAGTTCGTTGGACCGCCGGCCGGTCCTAGAACTGCCCGACACACGAAGATGTAGAAAACATCTCCTTGGACAAACGCAAAGGAGCTGAATCCCTGTTTCCACAGTCGCAGCGTTTTCTCTGAAATCCAAGGGGTTTGGGTGTCAGACTGACCCGGTGTGGGGATTTGACGGACCGGTTTCTGACGCTTCGGCTTGCTTCGGCCAGCTTGATTCCTTCTCATCCAAGCATCGCGGAGATCGCTGGAAGTGCTCACGCAGAGCTCTGCCGTCTGGATCGTTGACACAGTACTGGTCACTCTTGGCAGCATCCTCCACGCAGGGCGAGCTAGCAAGTTTGCAGTTAGTGGGTGTCACGGAGAGGTTCAGGTTTCTTGCGTCTGGAGTGTTGAATGCTTGAAGTGTTGATGCGCTGACGCTGATGCTCCAAACAAAGACATTTATATATCGTGTTGCTGAGTGCTGCTGAGACAGAGCTTTGTGCTGCTGAGCGCTGCTCTCTAGCCTCTGCCAGGTATGAGCCGCGTCCAAACAACCCTCCGCTGAACCGCTCGTTCAGCCCATCGCTAAGGATCTTCTTCACCTTGAAAAACAGGAGAGCAACAAATCTGTATCCTCACAATCAATCTGCTCGTGAGATCTCATGAGTACCTATATGAAGGAGCGACATGCACTCCAATAGTGGTCTTGGGCCCTGCCAAACTTTGCAGACCTCGCTTCAAATCTTCTGTCGAGCAGGTTAGCATTGCAGTACATCAGACTGTTCTTGGCCCGCGGCAGTATCAGGCTTCGTACCGTGCAATAGGAAAACCTCGTTAATGTCCTTGTTCACTGGATTGGGCAAGTCTCCAGTTGATGCCACCAGTTGCTCACGAATTTTGACCGTAGGCATCCTTGAGAGCTTGTGTTTCTTCAAGTCCTTGATGTTCATTCTTTCCTAAGGTCAAGCAAAAATGTTTAACCCGATAGAATTGTTGACATAGCTAAATCCATCTCTTCAACCACTTGGCAGTAACACAGGGTCACCTTGGACATCACTTTGCAATCTGTCAGATTCGTCCAAAAACGGGGTTTCGTCCTCGAAAACATGTCCTCTGTTGCACTGGAAGTTGGTTCCTCCCCTGCATGGAGCCGAGATTCATGTTCAAACTTGCGCCAAAGGTAGGCGTTCTCCACCCGCCAAGCCCTTCGAAGCTGCAAGCTGGTATAGGGTGGCCAGCCGCTGCAATCTCGCCCGTGGCCCAGATCATGAGCGTTCTGCGGACCTCAGGGAGACTGTGGCAAGGTGTTCAATTGCACAGAAAGCTTGGACCATCCTGTCACTAATCGTTTCCATCAAACACCTGCAAGCTTGTCACCGCCAAGCCGCAAAGAACCTCTTGCAAGTGCTGAAAGACAAAGCTCCCAGATTCGACCGCAACCAGCCGGTAGCCATCTTTCGGCATTGGCTGCTTTTTCCAATGCTTTGGAAGCTTGATCTGCGAAGACGCCGGCTCCGCCTCCTCTGGTTGGGCTCCATGCAGGAACTGTTTCACCCATTCGTGTGCATACGCCATACCAAACCATCTGGCCACACTCAAACACTCCTTCTGCTCTTGCAAAGTCAGCTTCTCCACCTGGTCACCCTCCACACGGCCGGTGTAAATGATGGCCTTCACCAATTCCAGGACCTGCTGGGAACACCTGGCCTTCTCCTGTAAACACCAGGAGTCGGGGCGATCTCGATGGCGCACCAAGTGGCTGCCCAGCTTTGGACAGGCTTTGCAACAAACAACGCGGTGTGCCAAGACCTGACCATTCTGGCACTCGAGGACCAAATCGGCCAAGGACTCATCTTTCTGTAGCTCCTGCCGGTCAGACTTGATCAGGACCGATCACCAGGCTTAGTACTGTATTTCCGAATTTCCTGAGTGGACCAACAAAAAGGACCCTCCCGGTCGGAAACAGAGCATGTAGTTGTGTGCATCTTTTAACATGAGAAGGTCTCCCAAACAACCAAAGCCGTGTAAAAAAAGGATAACATGTCTGTCTGAGGTCATTACTTGTCACCTATGCACAGAGCCTGACTGTGTGTCCTACAAAACCATGTGCTTTGCAGTGAAGTCTACATATGTTTCCCAAATTTAGGGCATCGCTTCGCGAGTGTTTTTTGAGAGAACGGTAAAAACCATAGGAACTGCAACGCGAAACCAGCGCTGTGGTTAACGCTGAAATGGTGCAAATTACACTCTCTAGCCATTCGAGGTTAACAAGGGGCACCATCAGTGAGCGACGTGGACTTGGCGCACCCCCCCGGACCTCCCGTAGTATCTTGTGTCGTCACATCAACAACTCATCACCATAATGCTCTACTGATCACAAGAACGAAACCAGCCCCCCCAAACCTCCCGTAGTATCTTCTGTCGTCACATCAACAACTCATCATCATCATCATCATCATCATCATCATCATCATCATCATCATCATCATCATCATC